GAGTAAAACTCAACCACACCATTTAACCACGAGTGAAGCCCCATGTCTAACTCTACCTGAACATTCATGAGCAAAACCCCAAAACACCACAAGTGAAAAACTGCCTCCCCTACAGTACGTAGCATTCACCGCTGGTACGATCAACGGTGTACAACGTTGTATGCCTTCGTGTTTCGAGTTAACGATAGGATGTACTTATCGTAGCAAGCAATAAGTCCCACCCACTTACTCAGGGACGTTTTAGGTCAATAGTACCAAATTCCCTGAGTGAGTGGGTTTTGACCAATTGAGTGGGTGTGTCACCCACTCACTCTGGGAATTGGTCCACTGGGGTCGTAAAAGTCACGATTGTAGTGCTACTGTAGCCAGTCGAAAATCGAATCGACGACGAGATACTTGGGTTAACTACCGTTGTGCGTTGGAAGTCGTAAGGGGGCAGGCACCCCAGTTTGTGGTAGTTTCGGCAGACATCAGGTAACTGTACGGTACACTTGCAACCCTTCAAAGTTAGCAGAAACACCTAAACCATCAACCATCTTGTTAATCAAGTCGACGATTATTCCCTGCCTGCCCTTCTCCATATTTGGCATTACGGTGGCATGACACATGTACACATATCAAGGCCTTTGAAGATACATTAAGGAAGCATTATAGCCACAACTTATTGGATGGCAGCCCACACGGCGGAGACCAACACGACGCTGGCCACCACCGATGAAGCGCCAGACGTGGGAAGAGGGGTAGCAGGGGCCTTGGTGGTGGTCGCAACGACCTTAGCAGTGGTGGGTGTCACCGTGATCTCGTCCTCGGACGGCGTCAAGATGACGATCGTCGAGTTGGTTGTGTTGGTCGCCTTGGATGCGTTCGAAGGACGAGCAGTGGTCAGAAGCAACGACGTCACGGCAGGGGCCTTGGACGTGGTGGCAGGGGGCTTGGAGGTGATGGTTTGGGCGGCGGCGACGGCGGCAATAGCGGCAACGGCGAATAACACTTGCATTTTGATGATGGTGAAAGTGGAAATGGAAACATGCTGGAGGGACGGCACGAGACTGCATACTGTATGTACTGAAACCAACGACTGGGACGAGACCAATACCTTGGGCTTTGTATGGTGGCGTCCTGTGTGTCACACCAACGCCAGAATTTTTTCCAGCGACGCCATTGGCCCACTCAAAATCACCTGAACCAATCAAATGGCCATGGGAGCGTCGGCTGGATGCATAAAGGTATCACTGGACCGAAAGTCCAAGGGCCCTCGATAAAACCCTTGGAATTGCAAGATATACTGCACATACGGGGATAGCGGAATAAGTCTATTTTTGTACTTACGATCTTATAAACGTTGAGCAATTGATCATGCTTAAGGCTTGTGCATTTTGCACACCAAATTACATCTAACAGTACGTCGTTGGACACGATGAGTCGTGTGTAACGACATTCGCTCTTGCTTTGTACTAGTACAGTTCTACTAATACAGTAGTACCGCCAAACTTACCACACTGTAGCATACAAATA